TGCTGTTTAAACCCCTGATCTTACTAACATCTACATATAAACAAAAACATTCATAAAGTTGGGGGTGCACATCCTGATACTTGAGGTAATTTCTCTGTGCTTCTTGCTCTGATTTAATGCCCTATGCCTTCTACTGCTGACCACTTTCATGCACTTGTTTCTCCTTTCCATTTCCATGTTCCTGTGTGTGACTGTTTATTTCTCTTCTTGTAAAACAACACTGATAACTTGAGCAGATATTAAATGTCTGTCTTGTCTTGGGTTTTTCCTGCTCATCATGAGTAGGTGCTGGTGTGGGAGCCTGGTTGGGGTTTCTCTGAGGATGTCTCTCCTTCCTCACCTCTATGTAGCACAGCCATGCTAGGACTTGTGTGGATCACTGCACTTATTCTTTTGCATTCTTATTGTGCCCTGGGGCAAAAGAGAGGTGACAACAGGAGTGAGGGGGCAGGCAGCACTCTGCAGAAAATGTTAAGATCAGGATGAATAAATCCTCAATGATCTCTGTCTGACTGTAGGTTCTCAAGAACAAAGAATGTCCATTTAAAATACAGCAGAAATCCCAGCCTCTGGTTTTGCCACACTTTCTTTAAGCTAAGGATGCTGATGTTCCCCTTCAGTTTTTCCCAGTTGATGATGGTGACAGCAGAGATGCAAAGTAGCCCCTCTTACTGGGAAGTACCTTAGCTATGCCACTTCTGTTCTTGTACTAGCTTTAGCCTCTTCCTCAGTAGATCTTTATGGGAAAATAATGGATGGAAGAAACTACTTTGGATATAATAAAAAGACTGAGTACTGCTAAGTGTAAAACCTCTCCATGTCCTCACTTGGCTACAGGAGCACCCACTTGCTTCTCTGAAGACCAAGCCCCAGGGACCAGCTTGGGAGGACCCATGATGAGGTCCCAAGGGATGCTCTGGAAGCACCTGGCAGAGCTCCTCTGTTCACATGTGCCAGGGCATGCACAGAGCTCAAAAGGAGCCAGGGCTTCATGGTGTCCCCAGGATTCTAAGTCACTTGTTATACTGCCTGATAGCCTCTTAAGGGTGCCACATGAACTTGTGATTACAACTGGTGATGCTTTAATATGTTAGTTTCAGGTACACCTTTGGCTGCTGCTTTGTTGAGGGTAGTTCCTGGGAAGAAAACTGAACCCTTGTTGGCTGATGCCCAAGCTGGGCAAAGCCAGGCCAGCTCTGCCTGCTGTTGACTGTGCAAGGGGCTGCCTTTCTCTCTTAACTACGCACACTCCCAGGCTCCTGGCCCACATCCAATCCAGATAAGAAATGACTGAAAATTGTTACTGTTAGCCGGCTATTCTGTGACCTGCATGAAAAGAGCAAAATGACCTCGGGACTAGTCTTAGCACACAGCCGTCTGCCCACAGACTGTGGCAGGCGAGAAGCCTTGGTACGCAGACCAAAGGCTGGCAAGACAAGTATTTTCCTGGCGGCTGCTCCCTGCAGACGGGAGGGGAGGCAGAAGCAAGCTGATATGCAGAAGCTCGCCTCGCTGCCTGCTGTGCTTGGTCTGTAACAAGATCTTTACAAGGTGTTAATGTAAGAGTGAGTTGTTATAAACTGGAAACCAACCGTTGGCTCTTCTCTGCAGGAGGATCTGTGGTAAAGCTGGTACTTACTGGTGATATCATGTGGTGGTAGGAATAGGAGAAAGCTCTCTTCCCTTGGACTCTTATCTCTTTATGTGCTCTGAGGCAGTGCTCTCCTGGAGACCCCTGTGGTGCTGAGGCCCTGCTGCAGCCACTTGCCCTGCAAGAAGGACCAGCAATGCCATCCTGCCATGGAGGCATTGCAGGACACCCTTGTGCCTACTTCCTAGCTCTTCTCGTGGTGTGCAAGCCTTCAAACAGGCTATATAGCCCTTTCCTACAAAGCCACTTTCTTAAGCACATGAAGAAATCTGGAAGAAGTGTAGCCATGGAGCTGAACCTGAGGTTGCCCATGAAGGGTGACAGCCCCATCTAAACACTAGAGTGCACTAATGCATGCTTCATTGCAAGGAACTATTTTTACCATGTGCTGGGCTGTACGTGCTCTGGGTAACAAGAAAAGCTTCAGCCTAAGCAACTCAAAATGCCCAAAGGAAGGCACCATGGTTGAAAACTGAAAGGTTCTTTCAGCCTGGGGAGAGGGGCAGCTAATCCTGACACTGTTTCTGCTTCATTAGACATGTGTCTGTGACTTGTGAAATGCTGCACAGGAAAATGGGAACCTGTCGGTGGATGCAGATATGAGAGGTTTACAGAAGGGTGCTATGTAGCTGCACACTGACAAGCCTGTGCCTCCTGGCGCCCTCAGCTTGCTGCTGCCTTTTTTTTTTTTCCTTAATTCTCAGAATTCCTCAGAGTATTTCTTCTGCCTGAATCTGACTCTTCTGCAGCCCTGTACCTTAGGGCTGGGTTTGTGTCTTCCTGGGAAGCTGGAGTTTCCATTTTAGGCACTGAATTTCTAGTTATACATCTAAAGAGAAACAATGTGCTCATCAGAAACATTCCTCATCCCTGCCACAAGTGTTTCAGGTAGCAGTTTAGGTAGGCACCCAGCCTTCCTGGAAGTCCCCACAGCAGCCCTTGGTTGATGGCAGCGAACTTGGATGCTGAAGGTCCCACCATCAGGTGGAGGTGGCTCCTCCAAGCAGGGGAAGCACCTAACTGAGAAGGCAGATCTGGTGTTACTCTTGCTGGTTACAAGTGACTCTTGTGGTCAGAGGGCTTTCATTTCCAAGTCTTTGCTCTGGCACTATTTTGCATAAATGGAGCAGAGCAGTCTAGATGTGAGGTTTTAGTTAAGAATCTTCTCAGCTCGGTCCAAGAAGTCTTCAGGTGGCTGCTGTAGAGAACAGAAGTGAGCCAGGCTGGCTGGAGGTACCTGCTGTCTCTGCAACTGTCAGAGAACCTACCTTGCATCCTCCAAAAGGGCAGGATGATTCAATACCCTTCTCTCTAGTGTAGCATCTTTAGCAGCTTGATGGTCTAGCAGCTTGACTTGTGGTCACCATGATTGGAGAAAGAAGACCCTCTGTCCACCTTGTGTTTCTGAAACAGGTATACATCCTTCTCCCTGCACCCTCTTTTCCCTCAAGTGTTTGGAATACTCCTGACACCTTGGGTTGTTTGTTGTTTTTTTCCAAAGTAAATTGTACATTCCTGATCTTGCCCTACTTAGTTTCTACTGAAACACTGGCTGAAAGCATTAAGGTACCCCCCCCCCCCCCCTTTGTATTAATATTGCTTAAGTAAAAACTGTTATCAGCTATTTTCTTGCCAATACAGTTACAGTTGCTGCTACTTTAATGTTGCTGCAACAGTATCTTGATGTGATGAACCTAGTAACGATGCTGGGAGTCACTTGCCTGAGAGTTAAATATTGCTCTTGGAAATACAAAAACGATCAGTGCTCCTAAGGAAGGAAAACAAACATCCTGTGAAGCAGTAGTAAAACTCCCTGAAAAAATGCATTCTGCCATAATGGGGCACTTGTGCAGATAAACGCAGCAGTTCTGATTTCTAAATTGCTTGGAGAAGATGGCATGCTGATGTTTTAGGCTGAGAGTAAGAATTTGACTGACTTTTTCTTTTTTGTAGGTCATCTGTGAGGAAGAAGCCCCTAAAACCACACTGGGAAAAGCTACTGCATAACCCTCTACCCCCACCAGCCCTATCTGCTGCTTCTGCCAAGCACAGCAGATCACTTCACACCCAGGTCAGCTCATGGCTCACTCCTACCTGTGAGGCTGTTGGAAGAACCACATAGGTCAAAACCTTTGCAAGTAATTTATTAAGCACTTCAATTCCAAGGGCCTTTGAAATGGGCCTGTTTAGTAGAGCAACTTTGAATGGTGAATAAACTTAAAGGACACTAACTAGTGCTTGTTTGCAGGCTCCTAAATGCCACTTGCTGTTAGAGCCTGCACTTTCCCATAGTTGTTTGTTTTGTTTTTTTCATGTAGAATCAGGTATGTGATCTTATAGATCTGGATTACAGAGCATCTACTGCAATTACTGAATTTGGGGCTGCTGAGTGATCACACTCCTGAAGACTTCTACCTTACCAGTACTAACACAGCAGAGAAATTATACACACAGTCCCTGCAAAGTAGGTCAATTTTAATAATCCTTTCTGCTTTGTGTTCACTTGATATTCTATAGGCCAGCCCATTCTGCTCCATTAGACTCATAACATTCACTAGAGCTATTTAAGGGAAGTAACAGCCTCTGCTTTAGTCTTTCATGCTATCATTACTGTTTTGTTTTGCAGCAATCTGTTTTACCTCTGTGTCACCTCCACTGAAACAGGTCTTCAGTCTGAGCCCAAAAGTAATGGACAGAGCTTAGGAGTCTCTGACAATAGTTTCTAAGGAACAATTCATGTTTGCTTATTGCCTTTATCTACAGTATATGCACATGCAGCTGAAGATGGAACAGGTGAGAGGGGGACACTGTTGGTTATGTGTGGCTGTTGAATGACAACACTGTTAGCAGAGATGCTGCTCTCCTGAATAAAGGCACACATTACTCCTGAGAGTAGCTGCCAGGAGACAAACTTCAGATACTCCCCTCTTTTCACCTCCCCATGAATCTCCCATCACTGTAGGCAAGGGCAGCACAGCCTTCAGCACCTTCTGCATACCATGGAAAGGAGTTACCAGCACTGAACCTGCCCTGTCCCCTAGACACATGTGGATCTCCCCATACATCATCTCTGCAGGACTTGCACCAAGTGCTGAGTTCAGAAAACCTGAATAGGAGGAAAAAAGCAAGCCTGGAGGTTATGCTGTGCTGCTCCTTATTCCCTTCTGCATGTGGAACCTGGCCCAAGGGAACTGACTCTGCAGTACAGCTCAGTACTTCCCTCTCCCACCCCCTCAGGCAGAAGTTACTTCGGGCACTTCTGACAAATAGATGCATCTTACAGCCCTGAAACCATTTATAAATAGATTTTTATTTATAAAGTCAATTTACATAAAATATGATACTCTTTTAAAAACTGCATATGTACAACTTAAGAAATCCTAGCAAGTGCATACAAAAATGCCTTCAATACATTTTCTTTTTAAAAAACACAAACTTCAGTTTTCAGAGAAGTGGACCTTCACACCAGGCAAACTTGGACACCACATTAAGACATAACTTTACAGTCTTTTACTAAAGTGTTTGGAGAGAGACAAAAAAAACCCCCACTTTTTTATATAAACCATGTAATGTTCCCACAACATTCTAGCTGGCAGTGTTCAAGAACAAGGGAATAGGACTTGCTAAAAATAGAACTATCTCCTCACCCCTTTTCTCTAAGGTTTCTTGTACAAAAATAAGTCTTCATACACCAGTGTTCCCATAGGCAGTTCAAGTTACATATAAAATAGAATCTGACATGATAAAAAAATCCCTCCCCCTCCAGAAACAAGGAAGCATCAAGTGTTTTCAATCGTGTTTTGTTTTTTTCCGCAACACCGGGCAGCAGCCGCGGGGGGAAGCAGGGTCGCTGGGGGCTCCTCTCCGTCGGCGGCTCCCGGCGGGCAGGTGGAGCCGCTGCCCCGGGAGCGGGTGGCGGAGCCCCGGCCAGTCTCTTACACCATTGCACTTTCCACAGCCCGAAGACGAGGGGTGAACCCGGCGAGGAACGCAGCCGGCGGGGTCGGGACGGGGGGTGTGCGAGTATTTTTTGGGGAGGGGGGGACGCTGGCTGCTGCGGAGAGCGAGGCCGCTGAGGTACTGCAGGCTGAGCGCGGCTGCGGAGAGATGTGCGGAGAGCCCCGGTGGGTCCGTGTCCCGCTCCCCCGGGGGACGCGGGGGGGAAGCGGCACCCCCCAGCACCTCCCCGCCGGATCCCCCCTCACCTCCCGCCGGCTCAGTAGCTCCCGAGCCAGCTGGTGAAGTCCAGCAGCTCCCGCTCCTCGGGGCTGAGCGCCGCGTCGTAGCCGCTCTCCTCGGAGGAGCAAGGCGAGCCGGGCACGGAGGAGGCGAAGGAGGGCGAAGCAGAGGAGTAGCCGCCGCCGCCGCCTCCTTCCCCGACGGCCGCCCGCCCGCGGCCGTCGGGGAAGGCGGCGGCGTCGTGCTCGTCGAGGAGCCGCTGCAAGGCACGGATGTACTCGACGGCGGAGCGGAGGGTCTCCACCTTGCTCATCTTCTTGCTGGCGGCGCCGTGGGGGACGTGCTGGCGGAGGGCGGCGAAGCCCAGGTTGACCAGCCGGACCCGGTTGCGCTCCCGCTCGTTACGCCGGGCCACGG